TCCACCGAAGCTCTCCAAAAAGTATGTTTGACGATGTCATATAATTACGCTCATTTAAAATAATTCTTGCTGCCCTTTTAGAAGCTTAAAAAATTCTATCATCATTAGCAGCATATTTTGCACCAGACCAAATGGTACAATAATAACTGAAATGTAAAAAACATTTAAATTTTGGTTTCAGAAAAAGATTGACTTCTTTTCTTACTAAGGCTGATTCAATACATGTAATGAGATGGAGTGGACCTAAGGATACTAGTTTATCTAGCTAAAATTACAGCACGAATATCGCCTCTAATATGACCATTTAGTTTTGTTGTTGCATGAAATTTATTTATCATTGTTATAGTATATTTTCAGTATTTCGTTAAAACTTTATTTTGCGTAAATTATTTTTTCAAAAGAGGCAACCTTCCGCCCTTTACATATATACTGAAATACATTAAAATATATGTCATTTATTTCTCTACATATTTTTATTAATCACATAAATGTGTTAGGATGGTCCTAGGACAATTGTATTTAGGACTGTCCTAAGATAGCTTTGTTTTACATCCTAAGACATGTCTCAGACACGTCCTGAGACCATCCAAAAATGATGTCCTAAGACCATCCAAAAATGATGTCCTAAGACATATCTTAGGACATATCTAGGATACTTTCATTGACATGGCCCCGACCAATAAGACAAGGATGTCATATAGCCATTTTCTAAATTCATAATCCAAGCGGAACCAATGGCATGTGCTTTATTGGTGCATCATGGTCATAACATTAATACAGATAAAAAAGTGTATTCACACAGAGGTAAAGTATTGATTATAAAAACCCCAATTAATACCTATTTTGGGATACGACGATGAGATGAGGGGCATATCTGATGAGTGTAAAAGAGAAATAAACTAATTTTTCTAGAATTTTGTTTGGAGCTCTAAAGTCAGCCTTGAAACAGAAAAGTGTGTTGTCTAGATGAAAACATAGGGGGATCAGAATGACCAGTTTGGAAAGTTTAATAAAAAGCAATCATATCAAATTAATATATAGAATTTTAGAAAGTCCTACACAAAGTTCGAATGCAGTTGCCAAATACTGAATTTAAATTGCACCAAATTCGAAATTTTGATAGCCTATGTAACTTATGTGGCAATTTATTTGAATCCCTAGAGCATCTATTCTATTATTGTTATAAAATTCAAAACTTCATTGAAGAAATAAAAGATTGCTATCTCTGTGCATAGATATAACGCTTAAATTTGATGTCCAAAACATGATTACTGGATATAATCAAGATCATGATAAATCGCAAATAAATAAGTATTGGAAATTTTAAAGTGTTTACAGAAAAAAAATTAGTTTTGGGAAAGGTCAGAACGACATTAAATTCAACAAAACAGCATTGAATGAAACATCCATCTTCCGTATTTTAAAGAAAGATATGAATGGTTTCATCAAAATGATCGGTACATCAAACAAAATAAAAACTATTCGGAATAGTCAATTGTATTGTTTACACCTTTATTGACCAAATGGTTAGAAACAAAAAACAGTTATATGTATTTTTATAATTGTATTTAAAAAGGATAAATCTGTATGAAATGCAAGTTTTCAATGAGTGTAGAAAACTAATTGAAAACAGATGCTGGCTTTTATATTGAATATATTTTATAGAGAGTATATATTTTCACCTATTTGTATTTTCCCTGGCAAATAGGATATGTAAAATAAAAGCAAGGATCCCTCTGTCCGCTGTCCTGGACTGTTTATGTATCCAGGTGATTTGAAATTAAATATATAATTCACAAAAAAAAAGAGAAAACAGAGTACACAACATTCCATTCTAGTGCAAATTATATTAATATTTTATCGTTATAGTATTAAGATTATATTTCTAAGTAAAACAAGTAATCATTTGCACACTGTATTATATAAATCACTCCTGTTATAAACCACAAAACAAAATGTGTCTTTTGATGAACAAATTAAAGACTTTTCTTCTCATAGTATCGAAATACAATAAGCATTTTGATAAAATAGTGATTTCTTTAGTTACAGGTGTTATGCATGTGTACAATCAAGACGGTGTAATTCAACAATTCGGTACATAAATGTGTGTTCTACAAAGGGATTACTAATTTAAAGAAAACTGCATGTTTGAAATCAATTTTTTTCTGATTTTTGTCTCAATGAAACCGAAAATATATTGTTGCTAGGCACTTTTCTAGTATAAATAAATGGTTGCATGGCAGCTTTCCAATATACATATATGGTTGCTAGGCACTTTTACAATATACATGAATGGTTGCTATGGACTAGTGTGATAACAGTCACCCCTGATCCCGGTCTATGTAATAATCCATACAGTCCTGAATCAAAACATGGTTACGAGGTTCTTTTGTATCAAATAAGGGTTGTTGCTAAGCACTTTTGACAAGACCTTGACTTCTTACTGTTGACCTGTAAACAAATCAGTGAATTTAATCATCCTGAACATTTCCTCACGTATTGTTTGCTTCTTTCTATTATATGACCTTTGACTTTGGGTTAAATTTCATTTCAATTAATGCTCAATAGTTTTCACATCATAGTCATTCATTAGTAATTACTGTTTTCGGGTAATCTTAATGTGTTATCTAAACAGAAATTCGGTCTATTTTAAATTTGTTAGCTGTATGTAATAACTCCGCGCTAGGAAAATACATGTGTACTTTAAAAAAAATCAATACGTATGTGAATACGAAAGCCGACGTAGAGTACCTATCTCTCTGAATCTAAATTCAGAACTCGCAAATCAAGAAATATAATCCAAACACAACAAATGTTATCATATTTTCGATCTATGAGTTTGACTGTCCCTCTGGTATCTTTCGCCCCTCTTCTTGAATAACATGGTCGAATTTCTGAAGAAAAAAACCCCCAAAAAATGACACATTTTGATTTCAATAGCAACCACCCTAGCAACCTGAACCCCAAATATTTTGTTGTAAATTATTGACTACAATCATTAATCTACGGTATCAGAAGTCCATTTCTAGTCTAGTAATGGACGTCTGACGGTAAATTTAAGATAACATTTGTTGTGTTTGGATTTCAACTGCAATAAAACAAGATTATATTTCTTGATTTGCGAGTTCTGAATTTAGAATGTAGAATATTGAATTTTGAATTATGAATGATCCTTCTCCATGTTCTCGGCTGTCGTAGTCATGGCTCTTTTTGGATTCAGAGAGATTAGGTACTCTACGTCGGCTTTCGTATTCACATACGTATTGATTTATTTTAAAGTACACATGTATTTTCCTAGCGCTGAGTTATTACATACAGCTAACAAATTTAGAATAGACAGAATTTCTGTTTCACCAACATATTACATCGTGCAAGTTTCACACGTTAGAACATAAATACAATTTTGCGTTTTGCAATTGGATGTAAAAGATATGTTGTATTCATTTTTTGTGATTGTTAGGACGAATTGGGTTTCAATGTTAGCGACTGTGCAACTCTTACAGTTGACTCTTCCGCATGGTTTATAATCTCCTATTTTCGATGTCTCGTGTTTAGATACTTTGGATGAATATCTTTCATCTATTGTCCACAAATACTCGCGTCTTATTGAAAATGATCCTTCCTTAAAAGAGATTCTATCACCTTCTGTCATGGCTTACCCGCACACAAAAACCTCAAAGATATATAGCCATAAAACAAGGTTCAACCCACCATTTTTTCTTAAAATGTCATGTACCATGTCAAGCATATGGCAGTTGTTATCGAATAGTTCGTTTTGATTTGTGACCCGGATTTGTTTTCGCTTAATCCATTTATGACTATTGAACAGCGGTATACTACTGTTGCCTTTATTTGTATGGCAATGTTAAAATACCGCTAAAATGACAACATTAAATAAAGGCAACAGTAGTATACCGGTGTTCAAAGTCACAAATTAATTTAGAGAAAAACAATTCCGGGTTAAAAACCAAAATCGAGGGGAACACATCAACTATAAGAGGACGACAAAGGAACAACAGGAACACTGAAGTGCAACAAAAACAAACATTAAGTGACAGTACAAATAATTGGAACATACCTGTCGTGATCTGAAAATAGCGGGAAAAGTCTCATGAACGAGTTGTTTCACATGCGAGATCTAAAATTTACATAAATTACCATCATCTATATAATAAATAACCATGATAACTAGTATTCTAAACAAATTTATGAAAACATCTGCTTTCCTGCTGCACAAATGTCAAGAAACTAGAGGAGTAAATATTATAAATGTTCAGATGATAGTATTTTTTGACGGAATGCAACTAGTGCATTTCAAGGTTATTTTCTTTTTTGTCGTATAACAAACCTTGTTGTATCACGATTGTCGGGTATTTCGTGTATCTCGTTTTAGCACGGTAGTTGATTTAAGTGTATTGTGGACTTTTGTGGTTTTCCATTTTACCATAGTGTGTCTGTTTTGCTTCAATCTGTAATTTTTTATAACCCCATAGTATTTTTTGTCTTTTTGAAACGTTTTTCCACAAATTAGAATGATGAATATGATTTGGAAAAACAAAATCGGTAATGACGAAATGAAAGAACATTAGTGAGCGCGCTCATATACCCCACGTCCCCACATTGTCATTGGAAAAGTGTAAGAAAAAAAAATTGTATCAGAAAAAAAAATTGAATCATAATTTCCTGTCAATATGCACATCTACATAGTATGTCCTTATTTTCTACACAGTTTCATGAAATTCTGTTGTATGGTTTGAGAGGAGTTGCGATGACAAAAGGTTGCAGTAGTATATTGGGCAAATAAGTTCAAAGGGGCGTAACTCCTGGAAAAAAATTGAATCGTAATTTCCTGTCGATATGCACATCTACGTAGTATGTCCTTATTATCTATAAAGGTTTCATGAAATTCTGTATTGTGGTTTGAGAGAAGTTGCGATGACAAAAGATTGCAGCAGTATATTGGGCAAATATGTTCAAAGGGGCGTAACTCCTTGAAAAAAAAAATGAATCGTAATTTCCTGTCGATATGCACATCTACGTAGTATGTCCTTATTATCTGAAAAGGTTTCATGAAATTCTGTTGTGTGGTTTGAGAGGAGTTGCGATGACAAAAGGTTGCAGTAGTATATTGGGCAAATAAGTTCAAAGGGGCGTAACTCCTGGAAAAAAATTGAACAGTAATTTCCTGTCGATATGCACATCTACGTAGTATGTCCTTATTATCTGAAAAGGTTTCATGAAATTCTGTTGTGTGGTTTGAGAGGAGTTGCGATGACAAAAGGTTGCAGTAGTATATTGGGCAAATAAGTTCAAAGGGGCGTAACTCCTGGAAAAAAATTGAACAGTAATTTCCTGTCGATATGCACATCTACGTAGTATGTCTTTATTATCTGAAAAGGTTTCATGAAATTCTGTTGTGTGGTTTGAGAGGAGTTGCGATGACAAAAGGTTGCAGTAGTATATTGGGCAAACAAGTTCGAAGGGGCGTAACTCCTGGAAAAAAAATTGAATCGTAATTTCCTGTCGATATGCACATCTACGTAGTATATTCTTATTATCTGAAAAGGTTTCACAAAATTATGTTGTGTGTTTTGAGAGGAGTTGCGATGACAAAAGGTTACAGTAGTATATTGGGCAAATAAGTTCAAAGGGGCGTAACTCCTGAAAAAAAAAATGAATCGTAATTTCCTGTCGATATGCACATCTACGTAGTATGTCCTCATTATCTGAAAAGGTTTCATGAAATTCTGTTGTGTGGTTTGAGAGGAGTTGCGATGACAAAAGATTGCAGTAGTATATTGGGAAACAAGTTCAAAGGGGCGTAACTCCTGGAAAAAAAATTGAATCGTAATTTCCTGTCGATATGCACATCTACGTAGTATATCCTTATTATCTGAAAAGATTTCACAAAATTCTGTTGTGTGGTTTGAGAGGAGTTGCGATGACAAAAGGTTGCAGTAGTATATTGGGCAAATAAGTTCAAAGGGGCGTAACTCCTGGAAAAAAAATGAATCGTAATTTCCTGTCGATATGCACATCTACGTAGTATGTCCTTATTATCTGAAACGGTTTCAGGAAATTCTGTTGTGTGGTTTGAGAGGAGTTGCGATGACAAACTGTTGCAGTAGTACATTAAAGTAAATAAGTTCAAAGGGGCGTAACTCCTAAAAAAAGAATTGAATCGTAATTTCCTGTCGATATGCACAACTACATAGTATGTCCTTATTATCTAAAAAGGTTTCGTGAAATTCTGTTGTGTGGTTTGAGAGGAGTTGCGATGACAAGAAACAGGACTGACGGACTGACGGACGGACAGACAGACGGACAGACGGACGGACGGACGGACGGACGGACGGGTCAAAAACATTAAACCCTCCGCAACTCGTTGCGTGGGGTATAAAAAGGAATTAAATCTGGTTAAGTGAAACATTAGTAATTACAAATTATGACTAAATTATAAAAAAAATGCATAAATGACCCGAACGTATTGGTGTAGTTCAAGATTGAAGTTGAAATATATTTCAAACGGTTGTTCGACAAGTGTAACCTTTTTGTTATTCAAATATGCTGCTTTTTATATAATTGTTGAAAAATATAGATTATGTTGCACATACAAAAATACCTGGAGTGGTTTGGTGACATTTTAGTATTTTTGACAACACCTTCACTACATCTTTTATTTAACATAATACCCCTAAGATTGCAATTGTTTTTGCAGGTATATTGTAGGAGACAATGCACCGTATAATTGTGTTTATTATATGCACTGTTTTGAAAAGTACAGCCAATGGGTGTCCACTTGTATGTAGTTGCACGGACACGACAGTTGATTGTAAGAATAGAAATCTAGCAACAGTGCCGTCTGAAATTCCCAATTCGACAACCATATTGTGAGTAGTAACATTTTAGTTTTTAGTTTATTTATATAGTAAAATGGTATAATATAAACTATGCTATTAGTTTCAGTGCACGTGAATCATATTTTGGACATGCGCTTTAGCACAAATATATTGATTATACCGACACTTAACGTCTAAGTATTCAAATGAGGGGGAGATACCAAGGGGTAATCAAAATAATGAGGCAATAAAATCAGACAACGCAATGAAAAAACAATACAACTAATAGACAAACAACTTTCTACAAAATTTACACAAAATACCAAAAGGGCCATTAGCTGTCAAAATCTTGTTCAACGATCTGACTCAAATTCTCATATTTGATTTATAACATACTAAAACTTATATATAAATAAACAAGGAACAATGCATGGACTCGATAATATATATCATCATTTCGTGTGTATTTTAGTCTGGACGCCATTTAATTAACCATCGACATGACCTCCGAAGACTGCCGATGGTCATATAACCCGATATAAACATAAAAATAAGTATAAATAGATAGCGACCTCGTGCAATTGAATTGTTCTAGGTCTGTTTGATTTTTATGTTATAGGTTAAAAAAATATGTTAATCATCGTTTTTACCTGTATAAGAATGAGTGTGGATCAATATGTCAACGAAATAGTCACCTTTGTTTCACTTTGAATGTTGATATTATTTTCCTTTTAATGACCTAACATAGCTCATAATGCGTAACCAATCTCTAGCTAATATGTTAAATTGAAGGTCATATGAATACAGATTCAATGAGGTTGAATCATTCACTTGCAAATGAATAATTCATCTTCGATGTTTCTTAGGTTATTTTGACAAAATTGAACTAAACTGGCTGCTAAAAGCGAATTATTATTTCACTTTCATTAATGATAGAACAGAAAAAAAAATATTATTTTTTTTTATCTCGTAGCTAATGCCTCTTCAAGATTTCCGAAAAAAAAAACAGGATAAACTCAGGTGCTCCAGAAGGGTAAGAGGTTTTTGCTCTCACTTGTACAAATTCGGTCGGAAACCGGGACATCGGTATAATGAAGTCTTAATCGACTTAACTGTCCGCAAGAGAAATACGTTCATACCTTTTTCGTATCTTCTGTCGCCTTTCTTATCGATAGTGACTGTAGGCATTTAAAATCTGATAACACATGTAAACATAAACAAGAATTATTGTTCCTACGTTCGATTCAGATACGTTCAGAACCGCTCATACATAATCTTCTTTTTTATAGTTGTCAGATCATGTTCAGTCGTGTTCTGTATTCATGAATGATACTCGGAGTTACGCCCCTTACGGTTGACGAAGTTTTATATAGATGTTCTTATATACTAAAGGTACATGATTGTATAGCTATATCTTTATAGGGAAGTTTAATACTAAATTTTACGATCAAAGAGATGATTATTCATTCCTGCTGTTAATTATTCGTTTGTAGATGGCGACGTTCCCTTTGCACCATCTTATAGTGTTTATGTATCTCAACTTGGTCGATTCGCTCTTGTATGTAACAACTTATTTGATTTTAAAGTAAGAAATATCTGTAATACTAAACAAATATTACACCAGAGGTTTTGACATGTTTGATATCACAAACTTGTTAAAACTTTTACTCAATTTTATCATCGGTACAAGGACAACATTCGTAAATATAAATAAATTGTAGACATCTTATACGTTCAGGTATTTCACATCTCATCTGTTATGGTAATATTCTATACAACGCACAACAATGTCGTCATTCACTAGAAAACCTAGCCAACCCTTGAAATATAGACTTATTCAGAAGGAATATAGTTACGATACTGTTGTCAAGTCATTAACGATGGCATTTTTTGGAATTGATATTGATTCACTTATAGTGTCTTTGCATCGGAAATAAAATATTTATTCAAAAAGTAGTTTTCGGCATGATATGGGTTATAATTTTCTCATATGATTTATGATGGTATGATACTGAACCCCTAACAGGATTGTGATTGATTTGCATATGATGAAGACATAAAATATTTCAATCAGTTTAATTGAGGTCTGGAGCTGGCATGTCAGTAACTTCTAGTAGTCCTTTGTTAATTTATGTTATCATCTTCAATTTGCCTAGTTTCTTCTGTTACCTATTTTAACCACGGACTTGAACTTCCTTTGAAATGAGGTTTACTAGCTGTGCGTATTCCTGTGTGTTTGTTTATTTTACATTGGCTAGAGGTATAGGGTTGAGGTCTCACTAAGCATGTTTAGTCCCGTCGTTTTTATGCGCCTGCCCAAGTAAAAAATTTCTATCCTTTGTTAGTTCTGATTCAACCTCATTGTTTATCCTTCCTCATCCCCAGTTTTTGGTGGGGTTCGTGTTGCTGAGTCTTTAGTTTTCTATGTTGTGTCATCTGTACTATCAGTTGTCTGTTTGTCTTTTTATTTTTGGCCATGGCGTTGTCAGTTTGTTTTCGATCTATGAGTTTGACTGTCCCTCTGGTATCTTTCGTCCCTCTTTTAGTCTTGTTTCTTGTTGAAACGAATGGACAACAACTGTCATATTCGTGACTTGGTACAGGCATTTCCTAATGTAGAAAATGGTGGGTTAAACCTGGTTTTATAGCTAGCTAAACCTCTCACTTGTATGACAGTCGCATAGAATTCCATTATATTGACTGCAATGTGTGAGCAAAACAAACAGACATAATAGGTAAAAATGTCAAAAATTGGGATACAGCCGAAAACATTGTAACATAATGCTAATCACCACAAAAACAAATAACTACTTCAACAAAGACACATTTCTTTATGTCAGATTATTAAATTCGTTATTTACCCGAGAACACAATTATTTCATAGTGCATTTCTTTTAGACAATAAATACAAATAAAAAATATCACAAAAGCTGTATCTTTAAAAGGTTTCTACAGTGTAATGTATTACTTTCGGGTAAACTGTATCATAATTATAGAAAAGTCTGCAGATCTAACTCAAAATATGGACAATTCTATGAAAATGATGTCTATAATTCAGTTTCAAAGCTTCAGAATTACTAATATGTTTATCCCTTTTCTACTTGACCAAATTATTACTTTAACTAAAATTTCATGACTCATTTTTTTATACCCGTAACTTTATATTTACTTTTTTATGCACAACATATCTAGGAATGGATTTGGAAGGGGCATGAAAAACAATGTGCAAGTTATACACTATCCACATTAGGGACTTAAGGTGTAGACAAAGAAAATCAAAGGACGATAACTGTGTCCCAGGACAGCATAGGATGGAAAAACTGGACCAAACTTACAAAAATTTGGCTTGACCGTGTCGTAGGGAATTATAATACAGTTGAAAAAGCTTCATTGAAATATGCAATGTATTATAGGCAAAATTGTCAATTTAACTTTGTTTGTTTATTTTTGACGGCTAAATCAAACAAATTTAACTATCACGATTTGGGTCGAAAATATTTAAATATTGCAACACTTTTCTTTTTTCAATGTCATTTTATATAAGATATCGTGTATTAAAATCAACAGAACAGTCATTTGATATATCAGATTTATTACAATGATTCAGGAGTTAGAAAAATCTATATTAGGCTGTGTTTGAAAATAATGATTTTTGAATGAATCGAGGCCTAATATGAACATGCAATTTTTGTTTACTAATAAATATTTTTTTTGAGTTGTTTTGTAATAAATAATTCTTTCAGACATAAAAATGTACATGTACTTCGGTTAGAAAGAAAAGTTATACATATCATACTACATGCGTATTAAATGGTCTTAGGCCATGTAAAACTAAAATTACTTTTGGTCAATTTAGGCCGTAACACATATTTACGTATGCAAATGCATACAGAAGATATAGGAAATAAATATTTGCTACTTTGTTCTATTTTCTGTGAAAATATACTTCCCTCTAGATTGAGAGTTCACAAATAATTCAGAAAACTTAAAATAAGTATAGAAACACAAATTTTAAACCTGTTGGATAGAACATCAGCATGTCACTAAGGCATTAAAATGGAAACAGCTGCACAATGCTTATTTTGCCAATAAAATGCGAAAATGGGATACTTATACCGAATTTCTTAA